TACATAGACAGCTGAAATGTAAAAATAATATTAAATAAGTTAGTTAGCCAAACAGCTACCATTGCTGATGTAAAAAAAGTCTAGGACTATTGTGACAGCTACCTGTGCTGTTCATTAGAGCCTCACCACTCCATAGTTTCAGTTTCCATTCCTAAAGCTTTAGCTGACATCTGAGTCGTGCTCAAATTGTTCAGCTCTGGCTCCTCATTATTCACTACCATCGTTGCAGTATTTTATTTTGGGAATTGGTCTCACTTTATTTGGATAGTCCACTATAGTCCCCTATAAATTCTCTGCAGACATTCACATGACTCAAGGTACTGAGATGTACCCTTGAGGGTACCAAACCAGTGACAAGAAGGGAACTGCCCCAGTGACACTTTCATACCTTTTTTTCTGAGAGTATAGGGTTAGAATTTGGACCAGGGTTAGGGCTAGGAACAGGGTGAGGGTTGGGTTTAAGTTTTGGGTTGAGGTTACAGTGGAGTAAGTGTGTGCAGTGTCTTGGATTTTTAAAATGGAGAGTTAGAAAAAATAAAACTCTCTCAAAAGTGAAACCACCATTTTGCAAAATAAATAAATAAATGTACTGTTGCTGTACTAGTTATAGTTCACTATGCTGCCTGTCACAGCTGCCTGAAAAAGATAGGAACAGACAGTTAAAACAGAAGCTAGGACACATTTACAGCATTTGGCAGACCCTCTTATCCAGAGCGACGTACAATTTAATAATTTTCGTGTTAGGACTCCTATTGGTATAGTGTAGGGTGCATGCCAAGATGGGGGATTGAACCCCAGTCTACCACACAGAAGGCAAAGGTGTTACCCACTATACTATACCAACCACTGGGGTTATCCTAAAGTTAGGACACTATACAGAAAGTTGTGTGTAGTTAGGATGTTTGTGTAATACTGTTCTCTTATCTGGAGTTAATGGATAAGATTATAAAGCTAAGAACTGTTATTCTCTAATAGCTACTGTCCTAAATTCAGTCCTAACTGAAGTCGTCATGGTGACTAAACAGATAAGATTTCGGAGTTAGGATGTTTCTGTAATACACCCCCTAAAGCAGTAGAACACTCGAGGTTGTGTGCTATCATGGATAACATCACAGCCATGATGGTATTTGTGATAATACACTCCCTCTGCTGTTTTATAGCTTAAATAACACTTCAGTTTGCAGTCGGTTAATCCTTAAAAGTCACAGTTATCACAATAGCAAAAGCATGTTGTAAATTGACTTTAATTATTCCTCAGTTGTACTTCATAAAACATATTCTAAACTGTAAATCACGTTTCTAGGTAGAAAAGAAGACATCTCATTATGATTTGAATTTGATGAAAAGTTATTGTTGTGCATACAAGCTTGTTATGTGCAGAGAAATCATCCAGTGTTTTTATGATTTCTGGAAATGAAAAGTAACAGAAAAAAGTGTAATTCTTCATGTGGCCGACTGTGTAATCAGTTATGTATTTATGTTTTTACGTTTAAAGAGTATAATTGGTATAAGAGTAAACACCCTCACTTTTAAGGCAGGCTAATTGCTTCATTTTTCACCGCATGGATGTGTTCATAATTGCAGATGCAGTTTATACTGTGCAGGCTGCTTAGTGTGTGCTTTGCAAATGGCGCCTCCCACCTGGTGCACTTTTAACTCTGGTAAATAATTAATGACGGATCAAATCTGAAGCTGACTTTCTGTCCCTCTTTCTCTCTCTCTAATTCTCTCCCTTTCTCTGCACACATTCACACCACTCACAGCTCATTTCAGATCCCCTGATGAAACCTCCTCCACACTTTAGGCACCAAGGATAGGAGCGCTTATCACAGAGAAATCAGAAGCGGAGGAGAGATAGTAGAGCTTTTAGTTAAAGCAGTGCTGGGCTACATATCATTAAAGGGGAAATCCACCAGTTCCATAAAATTCACAAAACTACTGCATAATTCCTGAGAGGCAAAAAAAGTATTTTGATGTGAAATGTTGTCCTGTAGAGAAACGAACAGATTCAGATTTATTACCAATGCTAGTGATAGGAACCAGGGTTGTGATGTCTACGACAGAAATGAGGTCATTTTGTTTACTATCCAAAATCACCAGTAAACCTACACATGTTTGCTGAGTTTTATATTTAATGTTATACTGCATGTAAATCTCTGAAATACATATATTTATTAAATACATTTTGGGCCAAAAACCTTCCTGAAAACTATCACAAAACAATGTCTTAGGCATCAGGCAGCATATTAATAACTGTTTTGTGTAATAACTTTCTATGAGGTAGCTTTGAAAGGCTTTAAACTCTTCAGCCGTCTGGCTACAATCACCACTGTAATGACAAATTCTGACTTGGTAAGTTTCTCTAGAACAGAACATTTCACATCAAACCGCTCTAAAAAACTTTTTTTTTTACTTCTTAAGAATTTATTCTGCGGAATCTTTCCAAAATTGGAGCAGTTTGTGTTTAATACATACTGATCTCAGTGTCATTTTGTGTTTTAGCAGTTTTAATAGATAGAGATAATTTTATCTGTTATATATTCAACATTCTATTCCATATAGGTTTTTTTGTGCACTTTATACAAGATATCCAGGACCTGATAGTTAACTGGAATGTATGGTGGGTATGCTGGGTGTTTCAGATCATTTTAAACATGTGTCGGTCCTGGTAGCCCACAGCCCTGCACACATTCTACCTCATGAAACACATTCTACCTGATCCAACTCATCAGCTAATTAGCAATTGCTAAACTCTGTAGATACTAAACTTTACACTCTGTAGAGCTGTGGCCAGCAAGCCACTGAGTTTGATCCCTCTGGGTTGCAGAGCAGTTCAGAATACATAAAACTAACTAAAGTAAATTTCCTTGTTGGAAATGTGGTTTCAGTACAACATTGTGTTATTTCAGTGCTGTTTTAAGGCAAAAAAAAACAAAAAAAAAACAGTACAAAACAATCCAAACAAAACAAGCTACATCAGGGTTGTAAGATATTCTTTTAACATAAAAGAGCAGTGCTCAGAGAGAATAGGTTTATTAGAGGGGCATTCTGGCCTTTTTGTTGAGTTATGCAGCCTCATCAGTTTGACAGAATTCGTGATTTCATATGGTTTTCATTTTTTGGTCCATCAGTGTTTTCTCACTGCAAAATCTGCCATGCATAGCAAACATACATCATAAAACAACAGGGAATCCCTGTGGTGTCCACCAATCCTGAGAGCTGGGCACTCATGTATAGGCTTACATATACAAACAAGCTACCACTAGTGTAACTCTTTCTTTGGTCATCAACAAAATTGAAAAGAAATCTTGCTAATTTAGCTTTTCGCTTGTTGTCTTGCAAATCTGATGAGTCATTTTCAAGGTTGTCCCTACAAAACTACATAACTACAGTTATACACCCACAATAAAATATTCCTAGCACTAACATTAGTTGTCTGATTTGCCTCTGTATTTACCAGCTAACAAAAACAATTCTGCCCACAAAAAACACTACCAAGTAGTTTTGTTTTTACTCCAGGTAGGTTACTCCAACCTTCATAATACATCATCTGAAGAGGCTTTTCCTATTTTTTAAACTTGAAAATCTCACTCTAGAGTCTATGGCAGTGCTGCGATAGTAAGCAAGTGGACATGTTTACAACAAATGTAACAAATGATTACATTTTTTATTTTGGCCATTGTGTCTCTTTAACTTTATTAATGCAAACTTGAATATAATCTGATATGTGCTACTGTGTGTTACCTAAGTCATACAGCACTAAGTCATTTATGGACATTTCAAAAGCGTTTCTCTATTTTTCTGGACTCTTATGACCAAGTGCACTCATGGCTCCAGCAAACTTGATATGACTCTCTCAAATTTGAAAAGATGGCACAGACTATAACGGAATAAGTGCATTTGCACTGAATGAAGGACATTTTTATGGCTGTTAATGGTCTTTAAGTAGGGTGGCTGAGTTTTCCCAAAAGCATCTTAACCCAAATATCATGGTATGGTAGAGTGCTGAACACTCCATAATAGCTGTGGTGACCTTAATGCTATGATGCTTTTGAGGAAAAGTGTGTGTGTAAGAGAGGAGCGAGAAAGTGGAAAAGCGTATGAGAGTATGAGAGGTAACTGGTAACACCAGAGAGATGAGCTGATTTGATACGTGTTGAAAAGTTCGGCCTGTAAAATGCTGACTCCTCTTTCTGTCATGTCCTGTGTTTCAGACCCCCTCCCTCCCCCTCTCTCTCTTTCTCTCATCCACACACACATATGCACACATTGTCTGTTTCTCTCTTGGGAGAGAGAGATCTCTAATTAAGACACCCCCCGCCCTGATCCACAGATAATAGCAAGATGTTCTGTCTTTTTTTAAAATTTCTGGCAAAAATTAGACTTTCAAATTACCTTCAATTGGTCTTCACTGAACAAGGCTTTCATACAGTGCTGAAGATGTAAAGGGATAGAAGCTGGAAGAAAGAGGTAGACTTGAATAAGTGAGGATGGTAGACAGTCTGTGCCTTCAGATAGGCTTTGTCAGTGTATTTTGTCACATAATATTGATCCAGTCACACACTGCTAATCTTATAAAGTAAGGCTCAAAAGAGTGGCCCTTAGGTTGTTTATTTTGGCCCATCAAAAAGTTACCTTAACCTCACCCTCTCTTGCAGTGACAGAACAAATGTATATAGACTATTCTATCAAAGCAGTTGAAACTTTCAGAGCTATTCAAAATAACAAATAAGAATTCAGATCTTAAATTTACAGGTATTATGTGATGATCTATTTAAACTAAAGGCATTAATAGAGATAGGGACAAATTAAATATATACAAAATCATCATCTTCTTCATTTTTGTGTTCATCTCTTCTTCAGTTCCAGTTGTTAGGAATATTATTTCTTTGATCAGTGACATTTTAATGCACATTTTACAATTAATGTCAACACATTTTAGAATGAAGGAGCTTCTGTATGTCATTAATTAGTATGTGTATTTGTATGTGTTTCCACAGGTCCAGGAGTGGCTATGTCTGAACTGTCAGATGCAGAGAGCACTGGGGATGGATATGACCACACCTCGTTCCAAGAGCCAACAGCAGATCCACTCTCCATCCCATCAACCTAAACCAGATCCCATACCCCCCCACTCCCAGCCCTCTACTCAGCCTAAGCCACAACCACAACCTCAACCTCAACCTCAACCTCAACCCCAGCACCAGCCCCAAACCCAGCCACATTCCAAAATTCAACCCCAGGCCCAACCTCAAGCTTCCCCAGGCCTTCAGAGACAAGCTGGAGCTGCTAGTCTTTACCAGACTGGTCCTCAGGCAGGCCCTGGACCTCAAACAGGCCCTGCACCCTACACCGGACCTTCTCAGACAGGATATCCATATCCAGGACCCCAATCAGGGCCCCAGGCCCCCCAGAGTCAACGTGGGGAATTTGGCCAGAGAGGCCCAGGTGGGGTGGCACAAACTGCAGCCCGTATCCCTCACCCTGGAGCCGTGCCCTTGCCAGGCCTAGCAAAGGCCCCATCGCAGCCAGAACTTGGCAGAGGTTCTCCAGTCCACCATGGAGGCCGACCGGACCAGATCCGGAGTGCCGGAAGTTCCCCAGCCCGTCGGCCCGCCTCAGCCCACGAGGCCTCTGCTCCCACTCAGGATGGCCTGACTAAACTGTTCGGCTTTGGGGCATCCCTGCTGAACCAGGCAAGCACGCTAATCTCCGTCGACCCACTGCCAGGAAGCGGACCTTCACCTCAGTCCTCAGCTGCCCGTCAACAACAGGGCCCCAGAGTGCTCTTCAGTGATGCTAATGCTAAGTCTGCAACAGGACCACTCAGTGGGGCCAAACCAGGCTTTCCACAGGGTCCACAGGGTCCTCACGCCCCTCCGCAGAAGCAGCCTCAGCAACAGCCTCAGCCACAGCAACAGTCGCCTGCACACCATCAAAAGGCACCACAGCAGCAGTCACTGGCACATCATCAAAAGACACCACAGCAGACACAGCAGCAGTCTCCTCTGAAGCAGGTTCAGCCAGTGAGCCAAGCACCTAAAGTCAACTGCCCGTTGTGCAAGACTGAACTTAATATAGGATCCAGTGAGCCTCCCAACTACAACTCCTGCACTCAATGCCACAAACAAGTCTGCAATCTCTGTGGCTTCAACCCCACACCGCACCTCGTGGAGGTAAGAGCAGACCCACACAAAAAAGCAAACCATCCCTCACTGTGCGGTCACTTCACACATCATCTTCAGTCAGTATAAATTCAAGATGGGATTTGTAGTTGGAAATTTCTGATGAGCTTCACTGGTACCTTAACCCTTAAAAAAAGAAAAACAAAATGAGGTTTTTTGATCTAGAGCACATTATACATTGAAGACTTACGTTGTTGGGAGTGAGCTTTACACATACAAAAAATACATCATGATTAATACCCCTTTTACCAGAGAAACAAATGTACGTTTTCCATTATACGTCAGCTGTCGTTGTTTACAAAATTTACACTCAATTTATATTCTCTGCATTTTCTTACTTTTTCTGTTCATTTCAATGTCAAGAAAACGCCTGTTACAGTTGTTAAATGATCACCTGAATGAGTTGAGGCTATGTTGCACCGATATCAATTCGATATTGATATTGACCCTGATGAAATGCAGTTCTATTAAGGCAAAAGAGAATAACAATACCATGAAATTCCTGATGCACATGCACACTACTACTACTGAATGCCAGTAGATGAAGCAAGCATGTCAGCAATGTGGGATTATTTCATTCTTGAGACAAGGAGTAGTACAAACTCTCATTGCAAAATCTGTAACACCATTATTTCGAGGGGCAGTGCGACCAGTTTAAGCTTTGTATGTTTTATTTGTGACACCACACACTGCTTTTTCCATAACACAATATCTTAGAAGTGGTATATCAGAATTTATAGGCACTGATCAGGTAGTTAGGTTAGGTTGGGGTTAGGATCGGTATCAGTACTAGTAAGTATCTAGTTTTAACAGCTAGAAAGAGACAGAAAATAGCTTTAGACTTGTATTTTAATAGTTGTCAACAAAAAAAGAAGATTAAATTGTTACAAAACTACAAAAATGTAGTGAACATGTAAACTATGTTGTTTCTTACTGAAACAAAAGAGGCCTGCATGCACAAGAACCTTTCATATAATTCAAATCATAATAATCTCTTTCAACCTATAAACACAAATGTTGTATCAGTTAAAAGCTTTAAAATATGTACTTTCAACAGCAATTATCTGCTTGTTTCATTGAGCTACAAGCGAGAAATAGTTCATATTGAATTACAGCTTGCTTTACCAGTGAAAACTTTGACTTCTAAAAGTTGATTGAGAACAGTTAATTAATTCAGCTAATTAGCTTTGAACCAGATCTTTTTTTAATCATTTCTTCCCTTTCAGCTGTCGTGATAAAGCTCTGTTCCCAAGTTTTGTGTGCACACACGCACAAAGCCATGAAATCAATCATAAAAGCATAAGCATCTGCAAAACGGTCATACTGTGCATTTTGCCTGCCTTTATTTAGTACATTTCACTTCTTCTACAACTACATACAAATATTGTATTTGCATTATTTAAAAACAAACAAAGGAAACTCTTTGTTCCTGTTTGCTTTAACAGAGAAAAATAGCTTTGTGTATGTGTGTGTTGTTCATGTGTAGACTTCTGTGTGGGTGTGTAGGGTCAGTGCTTCTGAGCGAGGGAGACATCCAAGTGTTAATATTCATTGCAATGCAGCAATGCTGTTCACCCTGGTAAAGCAGGTCTCTGAAGCACACAAGCTCTGTGCTGGTTTAAGAGTTTCTACTGATAAGACCACAGAGGGAACAGAATATTGATGATGCGTACACCACTTTAGAAGAGAGCAGTTGAGGCATTAGAGAAGGATTGAGGGATGGATGGATGGAAACAAGCAGGGAAAATAGAGAAAGAATATCACATGTCTGGTGGATTCCTGTAGGATTGCATTGTTACTGTGTTTCTTCAGCTCTGGGGTTGTCAAAATACCTGAAATTTGACCAATCAATTGAAGTATCACAATGTTCAAGACCATTTCCTAAGGCAAATGACACCAGCAGTGGGAAACCCTCAGGGCCTTTAGAGAAGGCCTAATGATTTCTGAGAATAAAAAGAATATATATGTCTGTAATTTTTATTTAATATTTAAAATAGTAGCATTATTCCGGGGCTCTTTAATGGAAAAAGTATATGTAAAACTGCATATTAAGTAAAATATATGTTAATGTTTGTTACAAACTCCAAATGAAACACATGGAATGTCTTTCATCTAAAACAGCCAAAAATATCCAACAGCATAGTGCTAACATACTATTAGAAATCCCATTGGGGCACTAGCAGAAAATAACATTATCATAGAGGTGGTTTTTCACATTTATAGCCCAAGCTGGAGGCCTAGCTCTAATAGTCATGGTATGCCACTGGACACCACTGTTTCTTAAATTGAATGCAGAAAAATATTCCAATCATTACAGCTTGATTTTTTTGATTTTCTCCCCAATTTAATTGTCTCCAATTCCACCCGCTAGTTAGGACTCCCCCAATCACACGATGCTATCCTAACACAGGCTTCCCCTGAGACCTGTGAAGCCAGCCACCGCTTCTTTTCGAACTGCCGCTCACGCAACGTCACTGGACAGCCGAACGCGCTCGGAGGAAAGCGCCAACCGCCAGATCTGTTACGTCAGCTAACAGACGCCTGCGCTGACTAGCATCGCGTTGGGTGATGGGGGGAGAAGGAGGGGCCATCCTACCCACCCAAAGAGAGCGAGGCCAATTGTGCTCTCTTGGACTCCCGGCTACGGATGGCTGTAGCATCACCAGGGATCGAACTCGCGGTCTCCTGATGATTGGGCCAACGCTTAGACGGTTGCGCCACTCGGGAGCCCCTACAGCTTGATTTTTAAAATGTATTCTTTTTTATCAATACAAAACTCCACTGGCCACATCTTTAAAAATTTGATTAATTTACAGGCAGAAAACAGTTTAAGTGCAGTTTTAGCCTGTTTAAATGAACAATTGTAGGAATTGCAATGCTTACCTCTGCTTCTGTGCTGAGCACTCATTTGCAAATTGCAGTGAATAAACATGATTAAATAACCATGCATTTAGGTTACAACTGGACTTTGTCCCAACCAGGTCTTGAACCTATGATGTTCTGCAACATAAGTGAATGCTCTTCCCAGTACTCAAAAGACAGAGTCTAATAACATTCATGATCCCTAGAAGGAATCATTTCACTACAGGCTTTGCTTGGTTACCTCCATACCATCAAGACCAGTGAGTAAAATTGTGCTTTTGGATCATTTGGGGTTTCAACCCATTGCACATAGTTGGCAGAAAATATTGTGTTTCTTTGTAAGCATTTCACATCAGTCTTTGTGAATTCAGGATGGGTTTTCTGGTTTGCTGAAAATTTTTAATGAGCTTCACTGGTGCCACAACTGAGACTGATACAGTCAGCTAAGTGACTTTTGAATTTGAATTATATAAAAATAAGTGTTGATTCTTAAACAAGTTTCTCTCTGCAAGTCATCAACACAAAACAGCAGCTACATTTTTATTTTATTAGCATGCTAAATATGCAGCACGGTAAATGAAATGATGCTCTATTTCCCACCAATTCCAAAGCAAGAACCAATCAAAATCAACTGTAAATGGAGTCATACATATCAAAGACACTCGCCACTGAAGCTTCGGATGGCTGTCGAAATGGGTACAATGAAAGAAACAAAAAGCATAAAAAAACATGTTAATTTCTTAAGATGCTACTAAGGTAGGTAGCCAGCTTGCTGCTTTGCAGATTAGATAATTTAGCTAATTAAGATAGATATTACTTAGCTATCTATCTAAAAGTCTATATTTTAAATTAGTTGTTTAGTAGAAGTGTTACTAGCCTTTCAAGTTACCTTTTGCTATTTTTAGTAATTCATTTAAAATGTCTAAATGCTCATTCAACTAGGCTCCATAGCTACTAAGCCCTGTAAACAGCTAAATGCTGAGCTCGGGCACATGGGTAAAACATGAATTCTGATTGGTTATCCAACATTTATTGGCCATACTGGTTGGCTGATGCAGAAAGAACTTTATAACAACACTTTAGTGTGCCATTTTCAAGGAGGAAACTTTTACAATTTTTAAAATACACATTCTATGCATTTGTGTTTTATTTTACCGGATCGAACCTTGTATTTTTAAGCCCACAAAGTGCTGATAAAGTTGACAAAAATGAAAGTGCAGAATAATCAGAAAGATCCAAAAATGTGTAGAAAGCCATGCAGGCCAGAATGGTGGCAGCATGTAAGCTAATGAGTTTCCATCGGCTTTTCTGACGAAGCTGGCATTTTTTGGAAGCCAGTTAGCCTCCCAACAGGAGGAATTAGTCACAGCTAATGCGATATAAATGGTCAATTTTTCCATTTTTAGACTAAATATCCAGTTGGCCTTTTTCAGTGATGTCTGACATCGAGGATTTGGAAAGTTCACACCCCAGCAGCACTGATACACAATGGTGTCAGTGAAAATCGATGAGTTCATGGGGTGAAACTGACCTTGACATTTTTTTATGCCTGAGCCAAAACAGAGGTGATGTTCAAAAGCAAGTACTAAAGCAAAACAAGGACTTTATAAAGTTCTGTTCTAGTTACAGAATGGATGTTTTGTGGTCTGTTTTTAGTATTACCCTGTAGCTCAGATATTACCATTCATAGTCATTTGATTGCATATTCATTTCACTGTTAGAATCCTCTATTAATGATGATGATACGTTTTCACACCCTTACATGCATACAATGTTTTTTATTCATCAAGTTGCGTACAGTCAAATCTGATCATAAAATTAATGCAAATCCCACTGACTTTTTTCTTATTCATCAATTTCATCCTTAGCATGTTGCATGAATAAGCTCGTGATCAAAAATTCTGGTAGGAGTGTGTTAGTGTAAGTGTAAAAGTGTAACAGTCTGAAAAACATGCTTGATTTGCAGATAACTAACGAAAACTATTATCGAAATTATCTATAATACCAATAATAATAATTATAAAACTAGAAAATAACAGTAATACTGATGTGCACATGGCACTCCAGTACAAAAGCAAATGTACTTTTTTCCCATTCACATTGGTGTAAACAAATGCTGCAACTATTCT